CCAGGTCCGCCGCGAGCTGGGGCCACGGTCTCTGCGCGTCGAAGCCTTTGTCCTGCCCGTGTGCTGCCAGCTCTGCAGCCGCCGACATCTCCGCCGAAGGGGTGCTCCTTGCCGTCGCCCGCTGAGCGGCTCGGCGGCGCGCCGTGCCCGCGCGCGGAGCCGCGCCGCTGCGCCTTGCCCGCGCCCCGAAGGGTTCGCGCGGCCGCCGCCCCAGGCAGCTCCGCGGGCGCGGCGAGTTGGCCCGCGCCGCCCCATCATGGCCGTCATCCTTGCTGCCCGGCCACCTCGACGGCAACGGCTGCGCGCTGGAGCTGCGCTCGACCGCGGCCTGCCCCGCGGGTTCGCAGATCCCCGCGCCGTGGCCGGAGTCGAGGCGGTCTCGAGGTCTCGGCCAGCGGTCTAGACTTCGGCCTGGGCCTCGGCCCGCGCCTCGACCGCGGCCTGCGCCGAGGCCTCGGCCGCGGCCTGGCGCACGGCATCATCATCCCTGGCTTGGGCCGCGCGCTCGGCATCACCTCGCGCCTGGCCGAAGCCCGGCGCTCGGCTTCGGCCGTCGCCCCGCGCTCGACTTCGGCAGGCTCCTTGGCCTCTGCCCCGCGCGCGGCGCGAGGCGCTGCCCGCCCGCGCCCGCCCGGGGCAGCGCGGGGGTCGACGGGCGCGGCGGGGCCCTCGGCGGGCCCATCGCTGGGCCGCCCGGCAATGCGCGCCACGGCGCGCGAAGAGGTGGCGCGCTGTGGCATTGCGCGCCCTGTCCACGTGAGGAATCTGCCTTGTCTTTCAAGCGAGGCCTCGTTCGCGCGGCGCGTGCCTGGGAGCGCGCTGCAATTGTCGCCTCGCGTCTCGGTGGCGTCTAGCTGGGCAGCGCAAGGTACTGGGCGCCTCGAGCCTTACTTTGGGCCTCGGATCTCTGCGTTTGGGATTCTGGGCCGGCGACTGCGCGTCGGGGGAGCGGGCGTCGCTGGGAATGGCCGCGAGGACGCGGGGGGAGGGGGGGGGCGGGCGCGGAGGCCGCGGCGCTCGCCCTGCCGCGCGCAATCGCCCGACGCCCACCCGTGCCGCAGCGACGAGGCCCGGGCGAGCCCGCCCGCCCTCTGCTCGAAGGTCGACGGACGCCCGTCGACCTCGCTCTTGCTGGGATCGGCGGGCGCCCTCTCCCCTTCGGCAGACGCGGCGCATCGCGGCGCTCCGAGGAGCCGGCCTCGGGGCCCTTCTCTCCGGATGGCGCGGGAGTGGGCGCGGCGCTCTGCTAATTGAGCACAAGGAATCTCTTCTTCGTCGCATCCTGCGAAACCCAGGGCGCGATCGGCTCTCTGCCCTCCTCTTGCTTTTCCACGCTTGGGCGGGCGCTCCGTCGGCTGGCCCAGCGGCCGAGGCGGTCGGCTGGGCGGCGGCGGCGCGCCCAGAGAGGCTCCTCGCTTGCAGCGCCCGCTGCGCTTGAGCGGCGAGGCGCGCGCGCGGTTCGGCGTCGTCGCAGAGGCGGCGTTCAGCGGGCTGCTTGGGCACATGGCCCCCGCCGCAAGGGCGGGCAGTTCGCCCGCGGGCAGCAGAGACTCGTTCGGCTTCTTGGATCTTGAAGACTCGATTCCGACCCCCGGGAACAGTTCATCGCGTCGTCCGCGGCAAATGACAGCGGGGGAAGCGCGCGGACCAGGCATCCACCCCAATCGTCAACGCCGCCATTGTCACGACATGGCATTGACGGACTGAGCTGCAGGCCTTGGGGAGCGATGCGCTCGACAAGCCGCAGTCGCGGCGCGACGCTCCGACGCGGCGCAACGTCGCCGAGTGCAAGCGAGCAGACAAAGTGAAGCGCGCGCCGGCTGTTGCTCGCGGCGGCGGCGGCCGCGCCGCGCGCGCTCCAGCTTCCTCGCGGGCCACTGCTTCTCTTGTGGCCAGGCCGGCCCCCTCCTTCTCGCCGGGGTGAAGGGCGAACGAAAAAATCCAGCTGCGTACCGGGAAATTCGGTTCCGAATGGGGAAGTTGTTCTCGGTCGAATGAGGATTTTTGTCTGGGCGAGCGGGCAAAATCTCCAGGGGGTCCAGGGCAATTTTTCTGGTCGAGCGGGAACATTTTTCTGGTTCAGCGAGATTTTTGGTCGACGGAAGATTGTTTCTTGGTGCTATCACGTGTGCTGCTGGATGCAGGCTGCCCTAGACATGGCGACCGCTGGAGAGCACGGGCGGGTGCACTCGGCCTTACTTTTGAACTTCGGGCTGGTTGTTCAGTTTCAGTTTCCACATCCGTCGCCCCGTCGCCCAGGGTCCACTTCTCAGGGCTTCCAAGGGGCACGCTGGGTCCCCCAGCGCTCCCTTTGAAAATCCGCCCTAAATGTGGTAACCTGAGGTGGCCGCGCGCCGCGGGTGCTGCGTTTAGGACACTGCGTTCTGAATGTTCGCGCCGGCGCTTCAATTCAAGTTCTGGGACATTTTAGTCACTTCGCATTCGCCGATGCATCGGCGATGCGGCGCGATCCTCCGCTTCCACATGCTCCGACCCTATCTGGGATGGGAGGCCTAGGAGATTTGTTCACGGACTTTATCCACATGCGCATGCAACCGTGGCAACGAAAGCAGAGGAGGAGGAGGAGGAGGAGGAGGAGGAGGAGGAGGAGGAGGAGGAGGAGGAGGAGGAGGAGGAGAAGCAGGAGGAGGAGGCGGAGGATAAGGAGGAGGAGGAGGAGGGGGAGGAGGAGCAGGAGGAGGAGGAGGAGGAGGATGAGGGAGGACGAGGAGGAGGAGGAGGAGGAGGAGGGAGGAGGAGGAGGAGGAGGAGGAGGAGGAGGAGGAAGAAAAAACAATAATAAGAAGAACAAGAAAACTAATAAGAACACTAATAAGAATAATAAGAAGAAAAAGAAGAAGAGGAGGAGGAGGAGGCGGAGGAAGAGGATGATGATGAGGAGGAGGAGGAAGAGGATGAGGAGGATAAGGAGGAGGAGGAGGAAGAGGAGGAGGAGGAGGAGGCGGTGGAGGAGGGAAACGGGAAGGGGAAGAAGGCAAACGAGGAGGGGGAGGAGGACGAGGAGGAGGACGAGGACGAGGAGGAGGAGGAGGAGGAGGAGGAGGAGGAGGAGACGGAGGCCCACAAACGACGAGAAAAAATGCGTCTCTGTTGCCTCGATTGGCCCCCCTAGATGCCTCCGCCGCTACCGGGCGGGCGGGCGCCGTTGCCGGGCGGCCTGGCGCGCGCGCGGCCCGCTTCGCGCGCGCCCGCATTTGCCCGCGCCCGCCTGCGCTCGCCGCCGATTGAGGGTCAACGGGTAGGGGGGAACGTGAGGCTTTCGAATTTTGAGATTGGGGTTGTCGAGCGTTTCTTCGCTTGTGCTCGGCGGCGCGTCCGGGGGGTGCCTGGATCGTCCCGCACAGCCGACGGAGGCCCAAAGTACGCCCCGAGAACCACCCGGGCACCTGTTCAGGGGGGGAGCATCGACCTTGAATCGGCGATGCATCGCCGGCAAATCGGCGATAGGACCGCCGATGGCAAATCCCAGCGTTCCTTAGCGGGGTGGGGTTATCCGACCTGCGTCGGCGATAATTGGGCGATTGTGGATCGACGCGCCCCGCCGTGAGTTTACAGCCGAAGCTGATGGTGAGGATGCGCAATATGGAAGCGAGCCCTTTTGGGCGCTCACGTCGAGGTTCTCCGCGCGGGGCCGGTCATCGAGAGCACTCGGGGAACGAGGTGCGGATGCACTGGTGCCATTGGGAAGATCGCCCATCCATGCGATCGGTTTCGACTGCGTACCTCCCCGTCGTTGCCCCTGACCGACGCTCGCGCGCCCCGCGCTTGCTCCCGCGCGCTTCGGCCGACCCCCCCGTCGTCGCCGCCGTCCGCCCGCCGCTGCCCGCCCGCGCTCGCCGACGCTCGCTCGCGGCGCCGCCTGACGGGTTCTTTCTTGGGAGCAGGGGGAGTTCTCAAAATTAGAGCAGGCGTGCGTTGTTCAGCGTTCGCTCGGCAGTCTCACGCAGTCGCTGTGTCTCGGAAGAGAGAGGTTCGATGGCTAGAGACGGGGCACAGAGAAACAATTGCGTTTACACGGCTCGTGTCTCTTCGCGGTCGCTCGGGTCTCGCTCCGCGGTGCGCGGAGGCTTCCAGCAGGAGTTCCCCATTGGGTCCTATTCCAGCATACGTGCGTCTCCTCGGCCGACGGCTCTGGCAATTAAGCGATGGGTTGTTCGTTGGTGGAGCGTTCGCCTGATCGACAGTCACTGCCCTGAAAATGAAAAACTTCGCGCAGCCGAGAGTTTTTCGGACAAGTGGGAGTTGTCGCAATTAGGTCAGGCGCGCGTTATGCAGGCGTTCGCCTTGGATTTTCACGTACACGTCGCGCGTTGTACATCAGATGTTCGAAGGCTGGGTTGGGTCTAGAGAAGCGATTGCGTTTGCAGGGCTTGTTGTTTTTCGCGGGGGATCGAGTTTCGTTCCGTGGTGTTCAGGGTCTTCTAGCAGGAATTTCCTATTCCAGCGTCGGTCGGTTTCTTCGTTCGACTGCTCTTGTGATCATGTGATGGGTTATTTTTGGCGCAGCTTTCGCCCGATCAACAATCATTGCCCTAAAATTGAAAACTCGGGGTGGCCGAGAGCTCTTCGAAACTATGTGAATTTTCAGATTGCGAAGGCCTGACAGCCGGTGCCGCCGACCCTGAGAACGACGAAGATGAAAACGGGGGGGGGGGCAGGGGGAGGAGGACGAGTGGGAGGTGGAGGAAGGGTGGAGGAGGTGGATGAGGGAGGAGGAGAGGGGGATAATGCTGTGGAGGAGAAGCAAGAGGAGGAGAAGGAGGCAGAGGAGAGCAGGAGGAGGAGGAGGAGGAGCAGAAGGGGGGGAAGGAGGAGGAGGAGGACGAGGAGGAGGAGGAGGAGGAGGAGGAGGAGGAGGAAAAGGAGGAGGAGGCCGGAGACTTGTGTGTGCGTGGCACGTAATTGCTTGAGCCCCTTTAGCAGCAGCCCCTTCAGCAGCAGTCCCTCCGCTGCTGCTGGGGCTCAGGTTTTCAGCGGGTATGTTTCCGAAACAATACCCGGCCAGCTTGCTCGGGGCCGTGCTCACCTCTTGGGCAGGCTTCGCGGCCCGCAGGGGATTCGGCCCCTCGCCACTGGCGGCGGACGCTGAGGGTTGGAGCTGGAGGCCAGCTCGACAGCTACCGCCACCACACTTCTGCCCACGGTCGACCTCGACGGTGGTGGACTGCAGCTGCCCGGCGCCTGTGGCGCCAGTGCCGGCCGCGCCGCAGCTGCTGCGGGTGGTCGGAGACGGGCTGACGACCACGGTGGAGGTCCCGCTCGCCGCGCTTGCTGGGGTCGCGGCCGCTGGCGCCTGCGGCGCCGCCTGGAGGCAGCTGACGCGGCGCTGCTCGGCGAGGATCGCCCTCGAGCCGATCGGCGAGGCCAGGGTCTACGTGGCGTGATGGCGGCGCCGATGCCAGATGCGGCCCCTGGGCTGCGGATTTTGGTTCAGAACGAGGAAGATGCGGGCTGGACTCACGAGAGGCTGCTGCTGTGGCCGAGCGCTGCCGATGGCTCGGAGTGGATGGTGTATACGGCGGGAAACGACTTGTATGCAGAGGCCTGGACGGACTACCGCTCCGCAGTGACGTGGGCGGGCAGGAGGCGTTTCCCACCTGGCGTTCGGAACGTTGTCACGTTCGACAGGCCTCTGCTCGACGCCGAGATGATCAGCCTCCCGAGGCGCGTTCGGGGCGAGGTCGTGCTGGAGCATGGCAGCGATGCCGCGGACTGGTGGACGCAAGACGCAGTTGACTGGAACGGTGGGCGGCTGGCCGTGCCTCCCGCGACGGCGGTGGAGGTGTCACGAGTGCGGCGGCGGATGCGGGGCAAGCACTTGGCGGCCCAGACCGAGTCCGCCGCCTTGCCGCTCGCCGATGGCGGGCGCCGCCGCCTCCGCCGCCTGAGTCGCGGCCCCCCGGGTGCTGGGCGCTGGTGCCGGTGGATGCTGGCGACGCGTTCGGGCGCGAGTTCGAGCTGAGTGCCGCTGCGATCCTTCGAGGGCGACGCGGGCTCGACCGAGGCGCCGATGGCGAGTGGGTCCCGATCGAGTACGTCACGACAGAAGAGATCGAGAGCCGGTGCGGCGCCAGGATCGCGGCGGCCGATCGGCTGAGGCCTGCGAGGGCCAGGCTGGGCGATCGCCTCTTCCCTGCTGGTGAGGTCGGGGGCGCTCGCGCGCCACCCGCGGAGCCTGCTGGGACAGGCGCCGCCGCTGCTGACAGTGCTGGGCAGGAGGACTTCCGTTCTTGCTGGATCGACGTAGACGAGACGGGGGCCCGTTTCGAAGAGTGGCGCAAGGTGGTGCAGGAGAGCACGCAAGAGGTGTTCTCGGACTCCAGCCTGCGCGGGCCGCCCGCTTGCTTGGAGGTGCGCCGCAAGATGTGCCGCCACGGCGGCGCGCCGAAGATCTGGTTCCAGGAGCGGCGCAAGGAGACAGGGATCTCGGCGAGACCGAGCATACCACGTGGTGCAGACGCTCATAGAGTGTTTGTACCTCGCGGGCACCTACGACCAGGTGAACATGGGGGGGCTCGCGTCCCTGGAGGTGGTCGCTCGCCGGCTGCCGCAGTGCACGGAGGCATTCGCGCGCGGGGCGGACCGCGCCAACTGGGCCGCGGTGATGCACCTGGCGGGGACTGCCAACCCGCTGGACTTGGCGCTGGGCGCGCCGCTGAGCTTCGCGAGCCGGCTTAGCAAGCAGGGGCGCGAGCTGGAGGGCGCGCGCCATGGCCCCTGGCGGCGCGCCAGGCGACGGCGGCCGCGGGGCAGCTGCGGCGGCTGCGGAAGCTGGCGGGCCGGCGCCCCCTTGAGGCGGCGCGGCGGGAGGGGGCGCTAGAGATGGCGGGGGCGGTGGCCGCGGCCGCGGCCGCGGACGCAGAGGCGGGCGGGGCCGCGGGCCTCGCCCGCCGGACACGCGACGTCCGGGGCCGAGGGGGGCGGGCGCCCGACCGCTCCTTGCAGATCCAAGGGCAAGCGAGGGCTGCGGGGCTCTTCCTTCCTGCCCGTGGCCCAGCTGGCCAGGCCGCCGGATGACTGGTGCGAGGGCCTCAGCGCGGCCCAGCGGCGGTGGTGGCTTCGCGACGGCAATGCAGCCTGCGAGAGCTTGCATTACTTGCTCGGCGGGGTTCATCGAGACGATCGCGCGCCTCCGAGCTTGATCAGTCAGCCCAAGATGGACCCCGTCCCGGCGCACGTGCAGCAGCGCGTCTTCTTGGCGGCCCGCCGCTGGATAGACGTTGACGGCGCCGTCGCGGAGGAGGGGGCTCTCGCCGGGCTTCTTAAGGGCAAGGCGGGATGTGTCCCGCTTGGCTCGACCAGCATGGGCCCCTACGAGCGCTCGCGGGCGAGCATGCCAGACGGCGTCGTCGACGCGCCGAGCTCGGCCACCGTGCTTCCCGCGCAGGCGAGGCTCTATCTCGAGGAGCTTGCCACCGGGATGCTGCTCACGCCTCAGGAAGCTGCGCTAATTCGGGAACCTGACGGACTCCCAGGTTGTCATGCCGATCCTCTGCTGCTGCAGCGGCCGAGGAGCTACGGGAAGTTCGCGCGGCGCGCGCTCGCCATCGGCCTGGTCAGCCTGACCCGCCGACCTTTGAGTGTGACTGGCATATTTTTGTGAAGAAGGAGGATGGTGCCCGTCTTCGTCTCATCGTGGACTGCAGGAGGATCAACGTCTTGTTCCGCCCGCCCCCAGGCGTCGACTTGCTGTCGGGCGAGGGGCTCGGTCGCATAGAGATGCCGATCTTGGAGGAGGGCGACTACTCACCGCTCAGCGCTGTGCTTGGGGCGGGCGGCGTTGCCGATTGCTTTCGTGGGATGAAATTTGACGATGATATCAGACAGTTGTTTGGTGGCCGCCGCTGGGCGCCGCCATGACTGGAGGGGCGCTGGTGCGGGGCCGCCCCGTGAAGGAAGGCGAACTGGTCTGGCCGATGAGCCGGGGCCTTCCCGCGCGCTTCTCGCGGTCGCTGTGCTTCGCTCAGGCTGCCAGCCAGTCGCGGCTTGATCGGCAGCCTTCGCTGGGCCTCCGACTGAGCGATCGCGGGCCACCGCTGGTACTGCGCGGCGGCGAAGAGCCCGCCACGGGGCACTTCGTGTACGCTGGCGCCCTCGGGCTGGCGGAGGCGCACGTGCGATCGGCGCTTCTGGAAGCCCGGGCCGACTTCGAGAAGGATCACCTGAAGCTCCACGAGGTTGAGCTGCTGCCTGAGGGGGGCCGCAGCTTGGGCTGCCACGTGGATGGCCGGCGTCGCGCTACTCGGCCGACCGACGAGAGGTTCGCCATGGTGCGGAAGGGCTGAAATTGCTTGCTGAAGCGTCGGAAGGTCGCAGGCTGGCAGCTGGAGATGGTGCTGGGCCACATGGCGCTCATAGCCTTGGTTCGCCGCGAGATACTATCCATTTGTCATACAGTATACGCTTTCGTGGCGCAAAGTTACCACGCCTTCTCTGTGCTGTGGCCGTCCGCTCGAGAGGAGCTGACCTGCTGCCTCGGTATCATGGTGATGCTGGATTCGAGCTGGACCCGCGCATGGCCGCCCGTGGTCTACTCCTCCGACGCGAGCCTATACGGCTACGGCGTCGCCGAGGCGAGCTTCGACCCAGAGACCGCGGCGGAGGTCGGGCGCGTCTCAGAGCTGTCGCGGCGGCGCCTGGGTGCTGGGCTCGCGAGGCAGCGCGCCTTCGAGTGCGCCGGCTTCCTGCTCGACGGCGAGACGGGCGAGGTCGTCCGCGATGCCGGCGGGGCGCCGCGCCAGCTGGACGCCGAGCTGCGGCGCGCGCTGGCCAGCGAGCGTTGGGGGGTCGACCCCGGCTTCCCGGGGGTGCCCAGCCAGTTGTTGCATGACTCCCACTGGGCCACAGCCATGGCAGACAGGTGGGCCTTTTCAGACGATATCTTTAGATAGGAGGCGCGGGCGCCCGTGAAGGCTGCGTCTCGTGCTGCGCACTGTCAGCCTGTAAAAGAATGCCGCGCTGTTCTTTTGAGAGATAACCTCTCCGTCGTGCTGTGTTTCTGCCGGTTCAGGTCCAGGGATTTTCGGCTTTGCTGGGCGCCCGCCTGGTGGACTACATGAACGAGGAGTTCTTGCAGGGGGTGAAGAGCTGGCGGGGCGAGAAGTTCATGGCCGGCTTGATGTTCTTCCACCCGGACTATGGCCGCCTGGGGGCTGCATCTGCCGCGGGCCCTGCGCTGCCTCAAGGGGTGGAAGAAGCTTTCGCTATCTCGCTCTCGGAAGCCTTTGGTGTATGCGATCCGGGTGGCCATGGCATTGGGGCTGCGCCGGCTGGGAGCGCCTCTGGCGGGCGCGATGGTGATGATCATGGTTGAGTGTTACCTTCGGCCAGGGGAGATGCTGCGCTGGGTTCGACCAGCAAGTCGTTCTTGGCTCCGAGCGAGCATGCTGTCCAGAGGTGGGTTGCGTGGCTCTTCGCAGAGTCGGGCGCGGCCCGGGGCGAGGCGGGGGCGGCCGACGACGCGATGCCCCACGATTCGGGAAGGCGCCCTCGGATGAGCCACATCCTGCGGGCCCTCAAAGACAAGGGCTCGTCGAGGCCCCTCCTGGGCTTGAGCTACCCGCAGTTCCTGTACTGCTTCCAGAGAGCGGCTCTGAAGATCGGAGCCGATGTCGTCCCCTATCAAGGCCGGCGCAGCGGGGCATCGCTGGATCGGGCACTCTGGAGGCCCTCGAAAGTCGATCTGCTCCTCTCAGCTGGCCGCGCCTCGCCCCGGGCCGCCGCCAAGCGCAGGCGCGGCCGCCGAGCGGCGGCGCAGCCGCGCAGCCCTGCCTCGGCGCGGGGCGCGCCGCGGCGCGGAGCCCTCCCTCGGCTGACCGTGCGCGCCGATGCTGCGCGCCGCACGCTCGCCACCTCTTCGCACCATCATCGTCATCATCGGCATCATCGTCATGACCATCATCACCATCATCATCAGCAGCAGCACCAGCAGCAGCGGGATAATCCTCAGCATCATCACCATCACCATCAGCATCATCATCATCATCATCATCATCATCATCATCATCATCATCATCATCATCATCATCATCATCATCATCATCATAATCGTCATCATCATATCGTCACCATCATCATCGTCATCATCATCATCATTATCATCATCATCACCATCATCATCATCATCATCATCGTCGTCGTCGTCGTCATCATCATCACCCTCAGCAGCATCATCAACAGCAGCATCACCATCATCATCATCATCATCATCATCATCGTTATCAGCGTCATCATCATCATCATACTCAGCATCATCATCCTACTCATCATCAGCATCAGCACCATCATCGTTATCAGCATCATCATCATCGTCAGCAGCATCCTCACCATCGTCGTCAGCGTCAACGTCAGCGTCAGCATCAGCATCATCATCATTATCATCATGATCATCATCACCATCGTCATCGTCATCGTCATCACCATCATCATCATATTATTCTTCATCATCATCTGCACAAGTATGATCATCATCGTATTCATCACCATGGTCACCATCATCATCACCATCATCACCATCACCACCATCAACACCTTTACCGCCATCACCCTCATCAGCACCACCACCATCATCATCATCATCACCACCACCATCATCACCGTCATCATCATTAGCATCATCATCTTCGTCATACTCATCTTCATCGTCACCATGTCATCATATCCCCAGATCATCATCCTCGCCATCGTCATCAGAGTCTTCCTCGTCCCCCGCCTGTCGCGTGCGAGGCCTGCGTTACCGCACTCCTTATTTTTTCTTCGCTATGCTGTTTGATCCTCATATTTCACATGATTGGCTCTCGTCACAAGTCTTAGATACCCTCCGAGTTGTCATAGTCATCCTCGTCAGTATGTTCCTCGTTGTCCAACTCCTCGTCAACCTCCTCGACATCCTCTCCGTCTGCCTCCTGTTAATCAGCCTCGTTGTCCTCTTGCTCATCGCATACTCGTGCCCCCCCCTTGTCCTCTTCGGAGATTCCTTGCTGTAGGATCAAGACGCTCAGAGAAACATAGCGCTGCCCTTCTTCACGTAGAGCAGCTGCGTTCGTATCAGGATTTCGGCATGGCCAGCTTCCAGACACGCCTGGGGCTGGACTCCTCCGCGTTCATACTCATCCTGCTCATCGTCGATGTTGAGAAGGCAGCCTGCAACACTCTCGGGGGACAGGTATGGAACTCCGCACGCCCTGGAGATGCGCAGTCGCAAGGCGCTTTGCATCGGAGTGGGCCACCGGCGGCGGCGGGCGTCGTCGGGAAGGGCCGAGCGGCCGCTCAGCCGCTCGAGGAGCACACGCTTGCGCCTCCCGCTCCTGCTCATGCTGATGCTGTTCCCGCTGCTGCAGATTCTGGTCCCGCTTTCTCTTCTGCACATGCTGCTGCTGCTGCTGCTGCTCATGCTCCCCTTGTTCCTGCTCGCTCTCTTACCTTTTTTGCTGCTGCTCCTCGTCCTCCTGGTGCACTCCGAGCTGCACTCCTGCTCTCGAGCTCCTCCTGGTCTTCCCATGAGCAGCCTTCGGCCCGTTCCGCCACTGTGCCTCGGGTTGTGGGCGCAGGGCGCAGTGGGACCACTCTGGGCGGGAATACTGTGGATTTCTAGGATGTGAGGCATCTTGGGTGCCTCTTGGCTCACTGGGGTGCTCTTGGGCGCCTCTGGGCGGCCTCTTAGGAGCCTGCTGGATGTTTCCTCCGGTCTGTTCGCGGACCTTCTTTTGAGCCCCTCTGGGGACCTCATTGGAGGCCTCTCGGGATTCTCCTGGGGGGTTCGGGGGGTGGATGTCTTGGGGCGATCCTGCTGACCGCTGAGGCTGTCTCGGACGCTCTGATGACCAAGAAGGCGAATAGAGGTGTGAACACATGCGCGGCCTGAGGTTCTGAAACGAGTCTGGCTTCTTGAGCCGGCCCATCGGGGCCTCCCAAGAATGGCCAAGAAAAGGTCAGGGCAGCCCAAGACGGGCTCATGGGGCCATCTCACAGCATGTTGGAGGCCCGCACTCCGCGGGAGAGTCGCGGGTCAAGGCCACCCTGGAAGCCCTGAGCTTTGAGAGCTTCGCAGATACTCGGGCGAGAACACCGTGCCGGAATCCCCCTGGCCCTGGGCACAACGCCGATGCGGGCAGAGCTTGTCCATCGCAGACGGGGCAGAGGAAGGTGGCGCACTCCCTCTGATCAGGGCCACTGTCGCCACAGCATCCTCAATGAAAGGCTGCTGCTCCTCGGCCCAAAAGCGTGGCTGGCAGACGCACCAAACAAAAGCAGTTACTGACTGAAGGAGAAGCTATGCAGGAGCGTCCTGCGGAGCGCGCATATCCGCGAGCTTGTCGTGAGGGCCCCTTCCATGGCCGTAGTCCAGCCATTTTCGCAATTTTGTACGAATGGTCCCTCTGGCTGGTCGTTGCGCCTGCCCCTTCATCGGGCGATCGGGTCATCTTCGCGGGGGCCCAAACGGTACGGAGACCACATTGTGTGGTGAGCCAGTGGGGGTTCTGGGTGACCGCACAGTTTTGGGACTTGGGTTGTTCTCCGAGGACGTCTCGGGCGATTGAGGCCTCCAAGGTCCTACAACCGTGCGATGACGGGCTGTGCGGTGAGGTTTTTTGGCGATTCCGAGGTCATCTGTTTCCGCACCGTCTCGGGACTCCAAATTCGTTTCGGGACCACCAGCTCCTACTCCCTCCTTGGTTTCCCCCTCAGAGGGATTGTTCTTGAGGGTGTTAGAGTGGGAGGTCCCCCCAGAACTCCTCGAATCCCTCCTCAGGGAGGTTTAGGTTTGTTTCCCAACCCTCCTTGGTTGGGTATTCGTTTTGAATAGAGCACCGCGGTCGCGTCTCCTCCTCCCGCCTCCCGCCTCCTGCCTCCCGCCTCCCTCCCCCCCCTCCTTCTCGACGAGTATGGAATGCATTGCAAATGATCATGAGAAGAACAATTGCAAGATGCTGGACGGATCACCGATAGAGGTCGCCTGCGCACTTTCTTGTCCGCCTGAGGCCCACTATCGAACAAATGCGCCTCCTGCCTGGCCAGTGTGGCCCCTTCCGTGGAGAAGGACTCGAGCAGTGCTGCGGAGAAACAAAGAATAAAGGAGAGGCAAGGAGGATATGGCAGGACACGGGTGAGACTGTCTGCAGCTGGCAACCCCGCCGAGCAGATGCTTCAGAACAGACCCCTTTCAAGTGTGAAGGGCGGAGGGTTGAAATCCGTACACGACTGCATGCAGCGCACAATACGCCTTCAAACATTGCTCGGCATAGTAAGCGCCAATGCACGCAAGGATGAACTCGCTCGTTGCCAAACCATAGAATTGGTCCTGGCGATGGCGCTGGGCCCCCGCGCCGGACCTACCGCGCAAGTGGGCCGCGAGACGTGCCATCTGCGCATACGGCGGCATCGCCGTGCGGAAATCCAGCCGGAGCAACAAGAGAGCTACATCACAATCCGGACCTGAGCGCCTCTGCATGCGCCAGAGCTGCTTCACAGATGAGCTGGTGTAGCCTTCCCTGTTGAGCTCCAAGACGTCCAAAAGAATCGCATATACCAAATATTTGTGTTGAAGCCCGATCTGCTTCCACCGCGCTCGCCGCGCAGTCAGGTCAGAGGCCCAACGCTGGAAATGCTCATGCGTTGCATGCACCACGCACGGCTGCAAACGTCGTTTCCCCCTCAAGGCTTCATCTCCTGTCAAAACAAACTGCTCATTCGGGTTGTAGTGGCTGACCATGATGGCAGTGAAACTTAAAGTGATCAACCCATCCAGACACTTGAACGTGACATCCTGGATTCTATCTCTCTTGTGAGGTTCTGGCTGGAATCGCAGAGCGCCGCCATGTATGCATGACAATTTACTCCAGGTATGAGTCACAAAATCGGTTGGAAAAGGAACAGTAGTCGTCGACGTAGCGTATAATAACTATGCAACGCTTGCGGTCAGCAAGTAAATGCCACCTAACACACATGCGTCTCCGGACGCGCTGATCGAACACAAACTCCCTGTGGCAGCAAACGACGCTCAAGAGTATGCGACTCATCGGCCCGCCAATCGGGATGCCAGAAAGCTGTGTGACAACCGGTGGCCCAAATCGGTAGCATGGCATCTTCAAGACGATGTCACAACAACGACGCAACGTGCGGAAGGTGAACACGTCCCTGTCCTTGTGCACTACACCGACGGACCCGGCGAAGTCGCCTTTCAAGCGGGCTTCGCAAAACACATGCATTGTGTCAGGAAGGCCACCGCTGTGCGCATCGTCAAACAAAGCATCTAACGAGCCTCGGACAGAGCCCTGGGAGACCATCTCGAACGCCTGCGCTGCGTCAGGAACAACAACGCCAGGCCGCCCCATGCGCGTATGACACATAGCGCAGCGAGGTGACGACTCCTGGATCTCATCAAACGCCGTGGCCAGGTTCCACAACTCAGCCCCGCCGTGCCAAACCGTCATGATCACGATTTGTACTGCGCGTGCGGCCTGGCGAAGGCTGGAACGGCATGGGAGGCGAAAGAAGCTGACGATGGTCCTGAGGCACGAATGCCCTGCTTTAGAACAACGCTTGTACGTGCAACCGTTGGCATCCTGACCCCAGCATCTTGCCTTCACAGTGCTGTAACTATATGGTACGCTAGCCATGGATACCGACGCAGACTTGGGCAACAGGCATTTCGGAATAATGGTGTCGCATAACCCACGGTACATATTGACGAGGTTGATGGTGATCACAAACCCATCAAACGAAAATCTTAACCGTACGTAACACACAACGTAAATACACAACGTTAGTAAAACATAATACACAACGTACATACACAACGTCAGCAGAACATAATAAACAGCGTAAATACACAACATCACGCATATACACAGCGTACATACACAGCAGCACGCATATACACAACGTAAATACACAACTGCACGCATATACACAGCGTAAATACACACAGCACGCATATACACAGCGTAAATACACAACAGCACGCGTATACACAGCGTAAATACACAACAGCACGCGTATGCACAGCGTAAATACACAACAGCACGCATATACACAGCGTAAATACACAACAGCACGCATATACACAGCGTAAATACACAACAGCACGCGTACCCACAGCGTAAATACACAACAGCACGCGTATACACAGCGTAAATGCACACCAGCACGCATATGCACAGCGTGAGTACACAACAGCTCGCGTATGCACAGCGTCAATACACAACAGCACGCGTATGCACAGCGTAAATACACAACAGCACGCGTATACACAGCGTAAATACACAACAGCACGCGTATACACAGCGTAAATACACAACAGCACGCATATACACAGCGCGAATACACAACATCACGCATATACACAGCGCAAATACACAACATCACGAGAATACACAGCGTAACTACACACCAGCACGCACATACACAGCGTACATACTCACCAGCACGCATATACACAGCGTACATACACAACATCACGCATATACACAGCGCGAATACACAACAGCACGCATGTACACAGCGTAAATACACAACAGCACGCTATACACAGCGTAAATACACACCAGCACGCATATACACAGCGTAAATACACAACATCACGCATATACACAGCGTAAATACACAACATCACGCATATACACAGCGTAAGTACACACCAGCACGCATATACACAGCGTACATACAAACCATCACGCATATACATAGCGTAAATACACAACATCACGTATGTACACAACGTAAATACGCAGAGATAATCCAGGCTGCGCGAACGCAGAACGTTTCGCAGCGTATATATTCAACACCAGTCACAAACACAACGTAAATACACGACACCGCTCACATACACAACGTAAATACACAACACCGCACGTATACACAGCGTAAATACACAGCACTACGCCGCGATGCGCGAGTGCGAAACGTAGATGCAGAACGTTGCGCACGTTCGCAATGGAACAACACATTATGCAACACCACGCATACACACAACGTAAATACACAACACTTCGCAACCCCACTGAAACGTTTTGGGCTGTCGGAGCAAAGCGGCGCGAAAGTGAGAGCCGAAACGCGTTGCCCGCCCCTTCACTCTCATCCGCAATTGCGGAGTGCTAGGTACGCAGAACCACGGATGCAGACAACGCAGATACACAGCGTAAATACACAACAGCACTCATATACACAGCGTAAATACACAGCACGCTTACACACAGCGTAAAATAACAGCACTACGCGACACACACGACTCCACGCACAGGACGCAAACACACACAGCGTAAATACACAACGCAAATACACAA